ATCCCCTGATCGTGTTTGTTTATGCTCCTTTCTTCTGTGCTTAGTATGTAGTCAAATATAGAGCTAAAATGAGGCAATTATTATTATTATTATTTATTGTTCTCATTAGGAATTTGCCCAAATATCTCTTTTTTAAAGAGGCTTACTAGTGCTTCTGCCCAAGGCAGGCAGATGTAGAGCCACCAACCACTCTGCTCTTGCCTACAGCTTGTTGCAAACACTGAACAAAATGGCTTAAATTGTTGGGACCTGAGAAATGATATCTTTGAGCTCTGACCCTTCATAACTGAATCCAGACACTAAATGTCTCTGCTTCCACATATTTTATATGAAGCACCTGACACAGCAGCAACAAATAACATGGGAATAAATCCAGTTGCCCGCAACAGTTCACCTTCATTAGCCAAGCCAAAGGTCACCTTGCTGGTGTCACCAGCAGCCACTACCGGGGCCATTGCCCGCTCTGGATCTTAGTGAAGAGACCATGCAATGGAAGGGAAGGTGGGGATTTAGGCTGAAAGGCTCCCAATGCCTCTGTGAGGCTTTTTGTACCCCACAGTCATAGTGACATTCTAAACCTCTATGTGCTGCTTTGGAAATTTAGCACAACCCTGAAGTCCTGGGCTTGAGCCCCAGGTGCTGACATGCTAAAGCACAGCAGATCCACTGAAGTCCTGGCATCTCCTCCTTTTTCTTAAGAGCTGCTTAAAATAAGCCCATTAGCCCCAAGTTATCAGCAGCACAGAGCTGCTAACTCAGGAGTCACTTCAGCTCCCAGGGAAAGGGTAAGAGCATGTTTTTAATTACGGGCAAGCCCATGGACGTTGCAGTGGATAGAGGCACTCGCCCCCTCCCAACTCCAGGCACAAATGCTCCATTCCCCAAATTACTGCTGACTGGCCTGGATTGGGTTTTATTGCAGACAAGCAAGCCAATTCTTTGAGGGTGAGGTTAATTCAAGCAGCCCCATGTAGAGCTTTACCCTGCAAATGGTTAAATGCTTAACCATGCCTGCAAAAACTAGTCAAGTGCAAAGCTGCCTTCCTAAGGGTTTGTGAGCCCCCAGTTTCTCCAGTATTTTTCGGTGGTGGAAAAAATGGGAAGTTGATGAACCTGCCAATGGCTTGTCCTGTTTTCCTTTTAAACATAAAGCTCAAGCTGTTTAAGACTGTGCTGTATTCATTTACAGAATTAATTCATACATCAGGATTCTATTAATTGGAGAAAACAGCAGATTTATCCCAAAGTGGCAAAACTTACAATATCAATAAATAAATTTCAAAATATTAACATTTAAAAGAGTGCTCCAGTTGCCTGGTCAGCAAACAGGGCCTTAGAAAACCCATGTGTGCACTAGGAAACAAATCAGTGCATTAAACATATTATCCAAAACTCCTGGTCTTTCTTAGCTGCTGGTTTAGGAATACAAATTCCACAGTATTAAGCAGGAAAAAGGAATAGATATTTTTATTTAAAACAGAGTAACTAAAAGTGACCATAATAAACCATTTGTGTTGCTTTTGTACTTGGGTAATGAATGACTGCAGAATAAAGTGCTCCTAGTTTTTGCCTCGAGGTCTTGTCAATCATTACCTGATAAATAAAAACTTCAAACAGGCTCCTTTTAACTTAATTGGGCAAAATTTCTCTCCGAAGGAAGGGTGGAATACAGAGAATAATGTGTTTGTGGCAGCAATAGAAGTCAGCAAGCAGGGTATTTGGAGGGAAGCATAGAGGAGATGCAAATTCTGAACTCAAAAGAGGAGTCTGTGGGGGTTTTTATCAGTTCCCATTGCAGGCAGAGGAAATTCCCCCAGCCCTCGGCCTTGCTGCTGAACTGCACTTGCCCAAGTTCTGCTCTCCCTCTCTGATTTTAGGCTTTACAGCTGACACTTCCATAACAATCAAAAATCTTAAAATTACACTAAGGCTTATTTAAATAATTATTTTTTATTATATGAACACTGGCAGCAATGGAGGCAGTTTCCTGCATGGGGACAAAAGAATTCTATTGTCAGTGCTGGAACAGATCTGAAACAGCTCAATTAAGCAAACATAACATCCTCAAAGTCTGGCCTGAAAGGAAGTTAAAATAACTGATCTATAAAATGTTTTAAATGTGCTTTAAAATGTCATTACTGAGATAAATTTAGCTGTTTTGAAGCTCGTTCACTAGAGTTTTATGGCCCTGCCAGTTTATGGCAGCATATGTATTGATGTCAAGAATTCCTCTTCCAGAACAGTAGATGAGGAGACAAAGCCATGGGAGTGCTGCAGACCACGGGGAGGCTGAGCCAGCTTGGGAACAGAGTTCTGGCTCCCAGGCTGGGAAAGCTGCCCCAAAGCACATCCAGCAAGCTGTGTGTATTTGTGGCAGAGCTGGAAACCAACTGATATTTCACGATATAAGGCTGGATGTGTTGAAGTTAATGGTAAAACTGCTGTTGGCTGCAAGACTGGCCTTGCAAAGCAGCATGATTGATTTATTTTGATGTTTCCTCCCCTTTCTGGCACTACCCTTGACTTACACCAGATCTAATTGCAGAGAATTGGGACCATAGTGAGAAATACTGGAGGATCCTTTTTCTAACATTAGTCCAGGCCTACAGAAGCCAAGTAGGTATTGGTTTAGCTCAGTAAAGGTCTTTCCACTGATGATTTGCTGGACTTCCGAGCAGTGCGCAAAGCAAATTTACTTATGAATTTGTAATTGCTTGTGGAAGATGGCAAATTAACTCCAAAATGCTGATGATTTAATCCTCTGGCTCAGCAAATACATCTGCATAACCTGGCACTACTCTGCTCACAGCTCAAAGTAAACAAGAACCCCAAAATTGCTGTTATGCCCTGAAGATATAAAATTTAGTTAATAAGAGGGATTTAGACCATTATTTTTTTCAGCTGCCTCCATAGCAATGCAGTGTGGTATCCACAGTAGGAAACCTCATGCCAGCAGCATCTCTGAAATATGCTAAAACAATCTAAAATAGAAAATGTCAGCTTCTTGGCTGATGTTTCTTTGGAGTTTCTTTCTTACTTTCTTGTGCCTCTATAATTTTATTGGGATGACTAAATCTCTGAACTATGTTAGCAGTAAACAGAACTAATTTACCCCCCGCTTCTTTGAAACAGCTGCTGACAGCTGCACTATAATTCAATCATGGATCTTTGCAGTGCAGACTGCAAAACACATTCATATTTTTTGTATTCTTCCCTCCCTGTTGTATTTGGACCAAAGGAGTTGCACCAAATAGCAACATGTGCTGGTTTTGCCCGTACATAGAGATTGAGCTACATGAAAACAGAGGCTCAAGATGAAATATTGTCCAGCCAAAAAGTTCTTTGAATATCAGGAGAATAACCACACAGATACACAATGTCGTCGGGATATCTTTTGTAAAGTTGCAATGATTTATTTTACTAGTTTGTACAAAAAGGCTTCTGACAACTGCTCTATGAAAAGAACCAGAAATGTGTATGCATTTTTGCCAACTGTTAATAAATATCTTCTTAAATAAGGAAACAAATGTGTTTAGGAACCGAGAATCATTTTTCCTGGATGTGATTGAAAAAGGAATTCAGAGATGGAAATAAATAATTCTTCTTCCGCTTGTGACAACTATTTACATAAAAATGTACAAACAGTGAAGCTGATGTTGAGCCTAGCAACAGAAATCCTGTTATTATGTTTAAAAACAATAACAAAAAGCCCCCAAAACAGAAACAATCCCCACATAATATTTAATATATGAATCCTATACAGCAAGATACCGTGGTCCAAGTTAAAAATGCAATACACCAACTCAGTGACCACCAATACTGAAACACCCGCAAGAAAAAACTAATCCTTGACTACTAAATAGTGGAAGTTTAGGCATGATCAGCTTTTAACTTTCTAGGTAGCACCTTACTTCCTTCAGGAGGTTTAAGAAGCACTGGTGTATATACGTATACAATGTCAAAAGAGCCTTCCCATCTGTGAGGTTTCAGTTCCTCAGTCTAAATAAGTGACGCACTGAGGGCAGTTTTGGCTGTTTATCATGGATGGTCCTGTCTGCAGGCTCCAGGAGAGATGGTCTTTTGGCTTCAGCTGTTGTCCTGCCGTGGGGCTGGCTGCAACTGTTTGGCCAAAGTCTCACCTTGGGATAGTTTACAGGAGTCCTGCCAGTGGAACATGGCTGGTGCAACCAGGCTGGTCCTGCAGATGTTTGAGCTGCCTGGGTTGGGTGCCAGGCACATCTGGTAACGTGGCAACTGCTCACCCACTTTAAAACCTACCGATGTCGTGGATGGACTTCCACTTTCCCATCAGCCTGACCCTGCTACAAAGACAACTGCTGGGAAAACACCAATTGACTTAGATGGGATTAGAATTAGACCATAAGAAACAAGTTTCCAATTCATTTCATAGGCAGTAGGGGTTTTTTTAGTTCCTTTGCTTATTCTTTTTAAAGTGAGGCATCTGGTCTGGATTTGATCTGTGACTTAAAGGGAGAAGAGCAGTGAGTGATGTCCAGAATGGGGTGGTTGTGTTCATTTATCTTCTTTCTCTAACTCTCCTCTAAGGCAAGATATGGAGCCAAGTCCCCACTGTGGCTGCATCACTGAGCAGAGACACCAATCTCCAGGGATTTATTATGTCCTGGACCCATCTGTTGGAGGTTTAGGTTTTTGCAGTTTGGAGATTTAGAGCTGGGTGTGCTGTGGACCTGTTGTTTTATTGGGCAGAATTTTCTTTTTATCCCTGTGGTGAAATTTCTGCCAATCCTACTTTGGTAATCCCAGCACATGCCAAAGTAGGGAATTGGTTTGTGATTGGTTGCTGCAACTTTGTATTCTTCTTTGCAACAACTTTAATAGAGTTTTAATTACTTAAGTGTGATGTTTGTGTAACCTGTGACTTTAAAAGAAGGAAGAAGAAAAGCCTCGAGGGGACATTTTCTTTCTTCTGGTTTCAGCTTCTTGGGGGCTCTTGAAAGAGATGTTTTTTGTTGTTTTTCTGAGGTTAAGCCAACACAGCAGAGGGTTTATCAGAAGCACTGACCCTGGGAAGGAGAGTTTCCCACCTTGTTTCTATTCTATGTGGTACTGGGTGTATGTCCCAGCTTACAGCACCTTCTGCACTTGACCATGTTCTCCAAAAAGTGTTGTAACTTGTTCCCTCAGTGAAGTCAATGGACATTTTCCAAACAGCAGTGGGATCTTTAGCTGCAGTACACAGCTCCATAGCTGCTTTGGATACCCCAGCTAAAAGTTAGGTTTAATCCCTGTTTCTCAGCATTTTGCTGTTCCCTGTTTCAAATTCATAGCAAGTTCAAATACTTTCTGCTTGCAAAAGGAAGTTTCCTTCCCTGTAATTAAGTATACTGTAGTAGTCTTGCTCTTTGGAATTAATTTCTTCAGTTCTTCTGCTTGCCAATTAGTTATTTTTTTCTTAGACTGATCTGTGCTTTGAATTTGTGTCAATCCACATCCAGCTTTTGCTACTGTATTTTAAAACTGGAAGTTGCTTGTAATTATCTTTGGTTTTGCTCATGAAATTGAAGCAGAGGGATGGAATAATTCTCTAACAAAATACCTGTTCACTCCAGGTATATTTTGTTCACTTATTTTATTGCAAACTGTGTTACAGGAACTACACACACTTATTAGTCACAGCACAGTCTCACCTTGGATAGATTATTACTGTTTAACTCACAATCAACACTGGTGAGTTTGCAATCTCCAGAAAGACTCATTTGCAAAAGTATGTATTGTAGAAGCCAATTTTGTAGGCAGATTAGTTTTTAAACAGTTTCTCTGGCTTGTTTCAGTTTACAAGCTCATTGTCTGCAATAAACTAAAACAAAATGTGTTCAAATGCCACTTTAGATCCAGAAACTGTTCCATTGTCTGAACTTTCAGAGGCCTGGTCCTAAAAACTGTTAGGGATTTTTTTAAACCCATGGCTGGAGCGCTAAAATTTTCCCCTCCCCCACATAGCCATACAAACCCACTCTTTACAAATAACTTTTTTCTTTCTCCTTTTCCTTTCCTACAAATCTAATGGCACCCACATGCTCGTACCACCATGTTCCTGTATTTTTTTAAGATAACATTGGAGCTGTCATCAAAATAGAGCACTGAGATGGCATTGAGTTGTGTAGGAGCACAGCAGGGTTTCGGCACAGTCTCTGGGTTTATAAAGTGAACCTGGGGAATGAAAGTAGAGGAATGTTAAGATTTACTTCTCCCCCCTCCTCTCCCATGTTTTTGTTTCCCAGGAAACCTTCTGTCTGTCCCACCCCCTCGCTCGGACATGTTTGGAACACCTGGCTTTGTGTACAAACATCCTGAGATGTCCCCTGCGTGTGCGGAGGCTGACGCACGCACCCAAGGCTGATCTAGCTGGAAATCTTTCAGTGAGGCAGGTTTTCATTAGAAAACTCCCATTTGTCAGAGTAGTCAGTGTTCTGCAGTGGGTACCAGTTACGATAAACTCTGTAGGATGTGTGGGCGAGGTTTTGTTAACAGTCCTCTCAGCCCTGGGCTGGGGCCCCTGTCCCTGTGCCCAGCAGCACCAACACCCAGTGGGGGCCAAGGGATCCAGGTCCCCTGAAGCTGTGGGACCTCCAAGGAGAAGCGGGGGAAAAGACAAATATAAGCAGTCTACCAGGAGAGAAACATGCAGATATTTCATTCCTTGGAAACAGTTGCTTCGAATTTCCCTGACGTTTTTTGCAATGTTGTCTTTAGATGTGCACAGGACACGGGATATAGATGAGAAGGTGCAGTGAGCCTCCTTGTGCCCTGCAGATGTGTGCAGGGCTCCCGGAGCCCAGCTGGGTAGGGGAGGGTGTCCAGGCATGCAAGTCAGCTGGAGGTGCAGTGGCTTTGGTGACACAGCTGGTCTGGGTAGCCCCAGCCAGCAGTCCCCCTGAACACAAGTGCTGTGTCACGAGCTCAGGGCTCCCATCTGGACAACTTTGCACCATTTCATAAAGTAAATACATAGCCCAGCTGCTCTGTGCATGTAATTCTGGGATTCACTGACCCCTTCCTCCGTCTGCCCCCAAATCTGCACTCAGTGGATCCTTACAGAGTTCTTCCAAGGGATGCTCATAGTGGATCTCACATCCTGCTCTTTCATTTCCATGCAGTGGAACTAAACCCCCATCAAGATGTCTATCATAGTGCCCTTTCAAGCTAGAGAGAGCATGTCAATGCCTGCAGCAAAGACAGGGTAATTTCTAGCCAACTATTAATTCAGGCCACTTGGCCAGGCATGTTGAGCAGATGCTGCAGGCATCAAATGAGCTAATGCAGACCTTCCTTCTTAGGCCTTGGAGACTCTTTTGTGTATAAACCTCTTTCTGAACAGCACCTATCAGATATAACCCTGTACCAGGAGCTACAGTGCACCTACCAGTGTCTGTACAATGGCATGGTTTGTAGCATTCATGTATGAATTCAAGGGGAAAGCACATTCTCCTTCACAGTAATAGGCAGCGTAGCCCTCGGGAGCGATGATCCAGTCCTTGAGTAAATCGAAGCCATTAGATTGTGGAGAAAGACAGAAATATTGTGCAGCAAAACAAAAAGCCAACCAGCACATAAATCTATCCATTCATACATCCATGTTTAGTTGCAGTGGCCTGCAAAATAAATATCTGGCACTCTGGCCCTTTTAGTGCTCTCTTATAGCCCTCTAAAGCAGCTGCTTTTCCTGGAGGGACAGACACATCCTCCTTTGCAGATGTGCCCATATTGTAGCTGAACATCTGGGTTTAGTTGTTTATCCATTCAGCAGTGTCCTCCTGGCTGCCCACAAGGATCACTTCACCCAGCACCGCAACACAGATACAAGCTTTCAGAAAGGAAAATGTTTTTAACCAGGTCTAAAAGAATAGGTAGCTGAAAAAGGAGAACTTTCAGCAGTGCCAGGGCCTCAAAAGGACCTAAGGGTGTTGAGTTCCCAACTTAGCAGAAGCACTTCTTAAGCATGCTAAAGGCAATATACAATTTTTTCACCCCGAGAATTATAAAAGAAATCCAGTTATTGGCTTGAACTCGCTATTTGCAGCTGGATAAGTGACGTGCAAAGGCACCTCAGTGACACACAGCCCTTACCTGCCACCCCAGGTCCCTGAAGCTGACGTAGAGCTCGTGCTTCTTGCAGGCCTGTCGCTGGTCACTGCTGCTGTTCTCTGCATGGGGAGAATGGGTGGCCATGAGCTTGGGCTGCCCCAGCACCCACAGCCCCCAGCAGGGAGTGAGGCATTGCTGCTCATCTCTTGCACATGAGGTGCCTTTTTTAACCATTTCAGTTTTAGTCATAAAGTAATGATAGGATTTAACACAAATGAAATGCCCTTCTGGCTTCTTGTGCAAAGTCAGAAAAGATCTGGGAAAATAGCTTTTTTCTTTTTCCTTTTTTTTTCTTTTTTTTTCTGAACAACCATAACTCTCCATGCAGTTTTGAAACTGTGCGCCCATCCTGGACAGCCTGAGCTGGAGACCTAAGCAGAAGTACCACAAAGAATGGCCTGAGCTGAGTTTTTTCATGGAAAGGCTTGCCAGGCGTTGGAACAGGATGCCCAGGGATGTGGTGCAGTCACCATCCCTGGAGGAATTTGGCACTTAGTGCCATGGTCTAGTTGTGAGGTGGTGATTGGTCCAAAGGTTGGACTCGATGATCTTGAGGGTCTTTTCCAACCATAGCGATTCTGTGATTCTATAAAAATGTGACTGCAACCCTCGTTGTTGGAAGCCATGTTTTCCTTTGCCTCCTGCCTCCCATAAGCTCTCCTTCCATTCAGTGAGGCTCTCACCCAAAAAGAGCTGGAATTTGCTGCTGCCCCTGCAGAGTGAGCCCTGTGCTGTGGCTCCTGCTGGGACCGTCATCAAGGGCCTGTTACTCTGAGGTATCACATAGTTAAGCCACGTTTCTATTTCAAATGCCTGATGGAGTTTTCTTCCATATTAGGAAGCAGAGCTCCCCCCAGAATAGCTGTGGTTATCCTGAGAATGAATGGGTTTTCCTCTTCCACGCAAGACTTTTGGGACTGCTACATTATTTGGGGGCTAAACTTAAAATCACAAACTCTGAAAATGGACAGCCTTTGGATTCAGACCCTCTGAAATATCGTTTTGATCACTTACTCATTGCTTTAATGTAATTATCTTCTGTTTCAAAATGAGAATTTATTTCATGTTGGGAGCAAAGGAGTTTTTCTGGTTAGGTGTTTTGTGTTTTTTTTCATTTGGATTAAGAAATCCCTCAATTTGACATTGCACCAAAGAAACATTCTTTTTTCTAGCTTTTTTGAAATAATCCCTAATCCCAAGCAGTTTCAAACCAACCACTGAATGCCAGTGGTGGACCAAAGAGACAACAAACAGACATTGTGGGAGAAACTATTCCCACGTCATCCCACACCCAGAAACACAGACCCAGCAACCCCACGGTGTACCTGCAATGTTTGACACCCGGAAAGCTTCCTGGTTCTTTGGCGTTTTGGATCGGTTCTGGCTCCTCTGCTTCCCTCCCGTGGAGCGAATGCTGCGCAGATGGACCTCGGTGGCTTTAAAGAAGGCGACGGTGAAGGGCTGCTTGTTCTGAGGGCCGTGCCTTCCGATGAGACCCGCCAGCTTGGGGTTGATGCTTTGCCCTTGGAGCAGAACAGACTGATAAGAGGGACTGCAGCAGCTTTTCCAGCATGACCAGGATAACAGGGAGGAGAGCTGCTGGCTGGTACGGCTGATTCCTGTGTGCACTGATCCACCAAGGACCTGGACTTAAACGGCAAAGCTGCTTCTGACAAGAGCAGCTCAGCACAGCTAAACTTCATTTTATATCTGCGTGTAAAAGTTACATAAAATAGCTCTACCTATAATTATTTTACCCTAAATCCGCTTAGCATTAACTTTTCCTGCATTCTTTAGAGGGGTTTCTTTAAGTTCACCAACCTATAATTTGAAGTGATCCTATAAAAGGAACCATAAAACTCAGCCCATAGGAACACTAAATTCCCACTGGAAGGTTATTAACTTAAAATAAAAATGCCTTGTATGGAATGCTGACAGAGTTCCAGATATACCTTAGGTGAAAAAACCAAATGTTTAGAGACATTTTGCTTATTGCTGCGTCTTGGCACTACCATATCTGATTGCTTTGTTGCAAAACTGGTGGTTACCATCCATGTGTCCTTCATTTTGGGCTTTAAAATAATTTGATTTTTGGTAAAAGACAATTAGGTGGTTTCTCTGTAGAATTAATTATTTACAAGAAAGGCAAGGAGAGGGTGGCAGTGGGAAATTTAGTATTTCTCCCTGTTGCCTCCAAAGGATGTCTGGGTGCTGCTGTGAAATGCAGGAATGATATGAAGGATTATTCTGTTCCAACCTACTGAGTGCTGCTGCTAAGTCCAAGTTACGTTAATGGCTTTTGTGATCCTTTTCTAAGGACAGAGCTGGGCTTTGTCAGCCACAAATCAAATGTGCCAAAGGACAGCTGACACTTTCCTGGAGAAGCCCTGCAAGGCAGCCTGGCTGGAGAGAGCAGGAAAGGAACTCTCAGTCCACCGGCAGAAATATCCATACTAGTTTCTGACTAATGTGTAAAAAGAAGCTGGTAGCCTAAAATACTTCTAGATGATATTCTATAGTTGCTCTTTTTAAGATGAGTAAAGTAAATGCCAAGGCTTATAAATTATTGTCTTTATGAAATTGTTTCTGTCTTTGCTCTTGGACCTGTCCAAAAGACTGGTAAATATGACATACCCAGAAAAGGGGGCTCTAGTCAAAGCTCAAGGCCAAGAATGGACTGGCCTTGACTGCAGTCCATTTTATGTTTTTCTAAAACCATGAGGAAGTTCCAAGATCAGTAAATGGGATTTGTGGAGAGGGCTGGATCAAGAGGTGTTTAATAGGACCCTGGTAACAGGAAAACTGCCTGGCATGGCCAGGCCTCACAAGCAAGATACAGCAAAACTAATCTGAGGACAGGGCAGCAGGAAAGCTTGGGTGAAAAGAGCAAAACTCATGGCAGTAGAGTTATATGTGGACACTCATCAACAGCTCCTTCACCTTCTGCTTAAGCTTCTTTCGGGAAACTTGTCCAAACAGTTTTCATTTTAAATATTTGTGGCTGAGCCCACAAAGTGCTTAAGCAAGCAGCCAATGTTAAATATATAAGTAGTTCCACTCGTGCTCAGGCTTTGCCAGATCTGAGCCTTATTTCCTGAAAACAAGCTCACCTGCAGGCATTAGAGCTCACTGAATGCTGCCCCTTCAAACAAGACTTTCTGCTTCCCAAAGCTGTTTAAAGTAGCCCTCGGCTGTGGCTTTTCCAGTGTAAATTATTTTACCTTTCCCACAGCTCTGAATAGGGCAGCAGCATGCATGAGCGGACCCAGCTTCATCCTGATGTTTAATGGATTGGCACTAGAGCAGCAATTTGACCAGTAAAATACCAGTGTAACACCAACACCTCACGTTCAAGGCCAGTACGGTGGCAGTGTTGACTTAGGGGAAAAAGAGGTAATGCTCTGTAGGTGAAGCAGCATATTTCTTTTTAATTGAGATGGGGAAAATGCTCTTTTTTAAACTTTTCTAACCACCCAGAGCGCAAGGTTAAACATAAGGAGATGTGTGTAATCACCATTAGACAATAAAAAACTTCTCCCACAAGAGCTAAAGCTGTGCTCATGAACCAGAGGGTATGGCTTCATCTGCTCTCCTGAAGGTGGTTTTTTAATACTGTCAAAAATGGGATCTAGAGTACCAAATCAAGTAAACCCAACCCATGTGTTGCTGCTGAGAGGGGCATTGTGGGTGCTGGGCTGAAGGCTACTGAGTCACTCAAGCATTTCTTCTGCTGGAGCTGTTCCCTGGTCTCAGGGATAAACAAAACCTCTTTGATTCTACCCTAATTATACACGTTGATAGACTTATTTGGCAAGATTATAAAGAAATACAAAGATCAGTTAAGTCAGCTTATTTTGTATCAGTTCATCTGGATAGTGCTTGTGATGTCAGATTTTTTTTAAAATAGGCTGTATTTGCTTCATAATTACAGAACTCTATATGTAACAACAGTTACAAAGAAAAGTTGGGTTTGGTTGTGTTTTTTCTAATTCACTTAAAGCCTTGGGGATTGCCCAAGCATATAGTGTTGCATCAAAATCCTGCTGTGTTTGCAGCATATGATTTTCATATGAAGTCCAGGTGTAAAAGCAGCTTTCTTGTTAGTGCACACAATTGGTCTAAATCCAAATGAAACTGGGGGAGCAAGGAAGGACATGTCCTTGCCATTCAAAATAGAAAATAAAATTCATGTGTATGGAGGAGAAATGGGAGTGCAAAGATGTGCTGCCAGGGAAATTGGTTACAGAAGACAAGCAGACAATTGGGTCCTATATCTCTGTATTTACTTACTAAACACTGCAGATGGATTTTCTAACTTTTAATGACAGGCTGATTAAAGTATTTTGTTAATCTGTTTGCAGAAAGCAGCAGTTACTTTGCAAAGGGGTGCAATCAGAAATTCCCAGGTTCAGTGATAAGTGCATTCTCATCTGTTATTTGGCTCAATGGAAATTAGGAATACAATTTCTTTTAGCACTCCCGAGAAGTCTGAATTTGTATATGTCTTTGAAAGTTCTCTCTGTGACAGATCTGCCTATGTGTTTGTAAGGGTCCACTTCTAACTGCTCCAGCAGAGCAGAGTTACTGTAAGTGTGTGCAAACCTGCAGCACTTCACTGGATGCAGGATCCTGAAAAGCCTCTGTTGAAATCAGTAACACATTTATAAATCAACTGCCTTTCTCCTTAATGCTGAAAAATGGGACTGACTTTTGCTGTAAAATCAGGAGGTGAGGATGGGGGAGGACAGAGAGATAAGATTTTATCAGTAGCAGAGGGTGAGTGTGAGACTGCAGTATTCACAGTGCTTGGAGATACTCAGCCTACTTCCAGCTATTACTTTTCTGTGAACTCTGGCCTGGGTGTTGATGGATTTTCTATACTTGAATAATGATTGAATAAATGTGCAATGATCATGGACACAACCTCTGTTCTCCCAGGTAGTTCATTCAGGAGGCAACCAGGAAACTAAAACCAAGGACAAGTGTTTGAAAAGGGGTTAAATTTGGTTGTCAATTTGCTTTACTGTTCTAACTTTAGGAGTTAACTTGTACATCAGGTTGAATTTGACTCTTTATACAAAGATGTCTTTGGGGTGGGGACTACTAACTTCCATGGTGAAGTTCCTTCTTTGTATTTATGTTTGGGTTTCTGCATTCACTGATCACTCAGAAAGGGCAGGTTAAAACAAACCCAGTGCACTTCTCTGTGCAGGTCTCACATGAGTTAAATCACCCTTTCATGTCAATGACTCTCTGTAGGTTGCCTGTTTCGAAACATAAAGGCAGAGCCTTTATGCAAAATGTTACTTACTGGAAACGTGCAGAGTGTTGGGAAAAAAACAAGAGCAAGTGATATCATAGATGCAGTGAGTAGAGAATGAAAGTATGTCCTTAGATAACTACACCCAGAATATTTATAATTTTGAGCTGGCTTTTCCTTAAGCATCCTGTGGGGCAGCCAGGCAGTTCCAGATGGTCCCAAGTCCTGGAAACCCCCAAGAAGATATCCAGGATACTTTGGTTTCCTTGCACAAGTCTCCAAGTGAGAATCAGGGATCTTAACATTAAGACAAAGCAGCATGACTTTTAGTTAAGGTCTGATTAGGAAAATTCCCCAGCTGATTCTAAAAACATCCTTTCTGGAGATGTTTCAGAACCAGGTCTTTCCACTCACTCCCAAACCTCACAGATTTGTACCATACACTGCAGACCTTGTTGTCCAGACCATGCATGACTTTCCCAGTAAGTTCTGCTGCCACAAAGGAGATTAACATGGTTCTTAGCTGTCTTCTGAATTTGAAAGGCCTTCTGTGCCAACTGACAGCAGTCTTCTACATCACTCAGTTGTGCCTTCTTGCACATGGCAAAGTTTATTCCTCTCTCCTTGACTGGACTGTGCTACCTGCAAATTAGCCAGCAGCATATTCGTATCTTGATGGGGACGTGTACACAGCTAATACTGGAATTACTGCAGGCAGGTCACCAATCTGTTATAGCATCTGAGTACATCCTTAACCTCAAATATGTCTAGGGGCTATTTTTTTATTATTATTATTATTATTTCCACCTTATGCAAATTCAGGAAAAACACTCTTATGAAATCCTGTTCACAGGAAAGAGTGATGAATGCTTAGGGCTTCCCCTGGCTGGGAATCAGATACCTGAGACAGAGACTCACTGATTGCAGCTGGTGTCTGACACTCACCATCAATGCCTTCCACGGAGAGCTGCAGGCCAAGGTTGTGTTGGGGATTCACCACCCAGTGATTGCTGGTTGCAGTTATGTCAAACACCAGCCACCCTTCCTCTGCAGCCCAGATCGTTCGAGAGTCGAGCAGGAACAAATCTGAATCCCTGAAAAAAAAAAGAAGCATAGTTCCCATTTACCCAGGCTTTCCATTGGAGTCTCTATAAGCACCCACATGTATGCTTTAGGCAGCATCTTGAGTCATCCTTTCAGTGATATCTTCCCCTCAGACAAAGCTTCTCTTCTCTTCAAAAAAGGGAGGATGGGTTGAAGCCGATTTGAGGTGGCTTTGGGTTACTTTGCTGTCACAGTTAACCTTAGAGCTCCTGATGCAGCTTCAGAAAAAAGGCTTGCCAGGCACAGATCTGCAAAATTACTGTTTGCATATGTAAACCTGGTAATTGGGCAGACAATGCTGCTCATTAGCCTTTCCACACATAATTTCCTAACTTTCATGCATAATTGTAGCACTGGTGCAAGCCAGCTGGAACACTGGTGTGCATACAATAACATATGTAATGGGTTTTTTAATTCATTCATCTGAGGTTACAGATAACTGGTTGAGACTCTGCTGCACTGCTGTGGTCACAATTTTCTTTCAATTCATAGCTTTTTTTTCCTAAAGGTCACTGTTCAGTTACTCCAGGTAAAGAACTAATACCAGAAAATAACAAAGATCTGCAATAGAGAAGATTCTGTGCATTTGAAGAGTGAAATCAATTTGGATTTACAAAACATTTCCTGGCAAATTTTTGAAAAATGAAAACTAGAAAAAGCACAGGTTCTGTAAGGCAAAGGGAGAAGAATCTGCTATCAGAAATTAACAAAGATATAAAACTTGGGTGAAAAAATGGGTAGTTCCTTCATAAAAAAGACTTTACAAGAAGAACAAAGACACACAGTGGAAGTGTCTAGACAAGCCCTGTAAGAGCTGCTTTTGTACCTACAGCACACAAACATGGTAACTTGTTGAAGTGTAATTATATCCTTTTGAATGAAGAACTATCCTTGGAAAACCCTTTAATCATGTCCTCAAAGCTTAAAGAAATCCTTATGAGTTTTGTCACTATGGATTCGTCAGTGCAAATATATATGTTTAGCTTAGTTTACACAGTGCCTCTTCTTTGCACAGAATATCAAGTGATCAGAAATGAATCTGAGAAGTGCTGTTGGCGTAAAGGCATTTGAGTCATAGCTTTTAGTGATTCTTTTCCCTGAGAGATTCCACACAAAACAGAAATGGAGGGGGTTTTGCAATGTTTTTACCATCTAGCTTTGCTTTCAACCTTTGTGAGCTAGAGAATATAAGCTGATGCATTTCCTCCATGAGATAATGGGTGTCACTGCCTCTGAGTCCTTGATGGCTTACATGAAATTTAATTTCTGAAATTGGTTCCTGCAAAGCACGTGAACACATGGCCCAGGGTGTGTAAGAGGAGGACTGAGTCTCCTCCCCAAAGCGGGATCCCTTCGGATACCACACGGCTGAACGTGCAGATCCAGCCGGTGCTGCTCAGGGTGCAATTAGTGCTTTCTTTTAAGCAAAGTTTTGGTTTGTGGAAGAAGCCCTTCATCAGAATTGGACTTGCTGCAACACTTCCTTGCTACCACGAAGGGGACCCTGTGTTTGGGCAGCCGAGGTGGATGGCTCAGGAAGGGGCTACGGTGCAGAGATGGAGAGGCTCAGTGCAGGTGGTGGGAGCTGCTCTTCAAACCTCAGTCAGCTTTGCTGGGTGCCCTTAGGAAAACTGAAGTTAAATAGTATGGATAATCCCCTCTCTCCATAGACACATTAGTTAGAGGAGTGCAAGATGCTTGAACTTCAAGAGGGGGGACAAATTTCCTGGGGTTTCATCCCCACCCAGAAGCAATGGCCCTGTTCCCGCAGAGCATTACACAGCCCTGTGGACACCTCCCACCCTTCCCTGTTTACAACACACTGAACAAAACACATCCCAGAGGAGCCAGGGATGAGGGAGTAGTACAGATTGGCCCGTTCCAATGGCTGAGGCCAAGTTTCCAGAAGAGTTTTTATACTCATGTACTGCACTATTTGAGCATGGCCCCCAACTGGAAGTCATGATTCACACAAGGTTTAGTTTATAGGGACTTGGCTTGCTTGGTTTTTTCCTCCTAGTTTGCAGGTTGATGATAGTAGCAATAATGATAATTTTTTGGGGTTTTAGCTACTGCTCAACTGCAGTATTATTACTCAGAAAAACCAGCCTTTAAGCTTCCCATGCTGACATGATGCAATCGGGGTAACCAGACATGAGGCATCAAGTACCAGAGTGAGTCAGTCTGGGAAATTGTATAATGCATTTGTTTTCCTGTAGTTGCAGCAATGTGCAAACAATAGGCCTGGAGGGGAAGACCAAAGTGAGAGAGATCAAAGGGACCCACTAAAGGGAAATGTCCTTCCCACACACACACTTGGAACGTTTGGACCCCAAAAAAGCCCCAGGTCAGATGCTCTTTGGAGAAGTTCAAGCGCTCCTGGATTAGCACTTTCCACTCTGGCCCACCAGCAGTGGGCAGGGATGGGATGCAAAACCTGACTGGTGTTGCAAGCAGAGGCTCCTGAGATTTTGACTCCTGTTCCAATGAAAAGAAACTTTTTGTTCTTTTAAAAAGAACAACTTCCCTTTAAGTGGAAAGCCCTGCTCTCCAAAAACAGGGCAAACAGCATTAAATCACCAGCTAATAGACAGCAAGCCCTTGAGATATCATTGTTGGACAAGAACGTGGTAAGCAAAGCAAAGAAATGTTATTCTGCTTAGACTTAAACAATATTTGCTCTGAGAGCTCACATCTAATCACTTGCCATAGGAGATAGTGCTAGTTAAGACTATCTAATGTGGCTGGTTTGGGTTTTAGCTTTGAGATAAAGATCTAAGCACAAAGAAAAAAAGTTTCTGGTGCACATCTCACTCTGTTACCTTACCTACCAACTCTACTCATAGAGCATTCTTGGAGCGATGTGAGTAATGGCTCTGCAACAAGGAGGCAGAAAAGCCCTTTGATTCCTTGGCCCTGCAGTCAGTTCTTTCATTTAAGAACTTCAGTGCATGTAAGAAACTGTACCGAGCCTTTTACCAGAGCAAGAGATAGGAAAGGCACATGATCCTCCTTTTACAGAAATTTAAGCTGGGACATGGAAATGTTAATATCTAGATTAGAGTTACACAAATTACGAAGTCTAGATCCAGACCACAAGTATGTTTTGTTGAGACCACATCAAAATGGCTCAGCGTTCAAAGTAGTGACATCAGCGGGAGTGTCAGAGCTTTTAGCAATGATAAAACACGGGGCTTTCAGCTCAGCTTTCTCAAGCATCGGGCTGTCAGTGGAGTCTGAGATGAGGACAGGAGGTTGGCACTTGTCTGCTGATGGCTTTGGTAGTGTCTGGCAGCAGATGCCAGAAAAGAGAGTCATCTCCCGTTAGAAAGCACTCCCAAAAATTTGTCTACAGGTCATATAACTACCGTGTGGTCTGTGAAACTTCCTTAGTGAACTTGTTTTCTGGACTCAAGGGTGAGTAACAAGCATTGCAAAGTGAGGGTGGCTGGGCAGGATGCATGTGAGATCGTGTCTGGAAAGCAGCTGGAGTTACAGAGGTGGAAGGGCTGTAGCTGCCAAAGGGCTGTGGAGGGCTGGTGGCAGGAATGTGGTTAAGAAAAGAGATCACAGGTGTTTAGTGGAAGGGAAAAGGACTGGAAGAAGTGGGGACTGTGGGGAAGAGGGGAGAAATAAGGGAAGACAAAATACAGAAAAGAGGAGTATCCTGAAAGGAAATAGTAAAGAAGAGTTACCGTGTTGCAACACAGTAAGATAAGAGATTAACCGCCATGAAGCTTCATGAAAATAGTACGTGTGGGCTCTTTGCCTTTTGCTGGGGTACTTTTTCAGTCTCTAGGATGCTGTTTGGTTTGAAGCCATAAACACTAGAAACATATCCAGAGATAAGAAGTGCAGCATCTTCCCTAATCACCTGCCTTGATGATTTGAGGCACAAGGAGAACATGGATTAGGAAGAGAGACCCAGTGAAAACATGAGAGTTGGCAATTATGCGATAGCAAGAGAACAGGAGATGAAACTGTATTTATAGGCTATAATGCTGTGAAGTCTACACTGCTTTAGGACAGTTCTCTTGCCAAACAGCCCCTGCTTTAGCGTCTGTTTTCTTCACTCACTTTCCCCATCCCCCTCATCAACCCTGTTATTTTAAGCTGCTGGTTGACAAGTGGTAGTAAATACTAATGACTGCTTCCAAGTGGGATAAAAATAAATGGGAAGAAGGACAGGCAGCAGCAAAGGCAACTCCGCAGTTTTCATGGCACTGCAAGCCAAGGTGATTTCTGTGACATGCCAACACTCTGTGTTGGGAGCAGCTTTGGAGCCCTGGCTCACCTGGCCATGTCCTGGCAGCAGCCAGGCCAGGGCCACTGCCAGCAGGTGCTGCAGTGCCCTGCCCATGTCAGATAATCCACCAGGCAAAGAGCACACTGAGGCTGCCCAGTAGCTGTGCTGCTTGAATCCCTGCTAGTTTGAGGAATTACAGATCTAACAGTGCTTTAAACAATAACCATACAGTGACACCTTGCAACACTTTGAACAGCTTTACAAATAGAGGGTCAACCTGCTTCTGTTTTAAAGTGGGAAACACTTAGTGTGGGTATATGGAATGTCTTACTGGCTCAGCATGCAAAACACAGCCTCTAAGCCAGGAGCATAACCCTGTCCTCTTGCTGGGTATTCTAACCCTAGAGGGGCTGTTTGGGTCACAGGCATGGTGCAAGTTTTCCAGCAGGCAGCCCAAGGACAGAGCTGGCACGGGGAGCTGGGCAATTTATGACCAGGTTTGAGCAGGTGGAGGGAGGAAAAGGCAGAGAGAGCATCCTGGGAGGGTTAGAAGACATCTGTTTGGATTAAAAACCTGCAGTATCCAGATTCCAGTTTGCTTGGTGTCATTGCTTAAAGTCAGCTGCAGCTGTACAAAGACAAGCTTAGGAAAATATTTTTCAGACTTTCCTACTTTGAGAGGGCCCCAGGATCTCCCTGGGCCTCTCCCTGGCACGTTTGCAACACCCTCTGTACACAGACCTG